TTTAGTGTTACATGTATAAATTAAAAATTTTATTTTTTAATTTATGAATTAAATGAATTTAAATGAAATTAACTTTAATTTCTTCATCTTCATTCGAGCTCCTCATCCTCCTCCTCCTCCACCTCCTCATCATCATCATCCTCGGCTTCCTCTTCATCACCCCTCTTCATCATCTTGGGTTCCCCGTGGAACCCAGATCTGGGTTCCGCGAGGTACCCAGAATTGGGTTCCTCGAGGAGCCCAGAACTGGGTTCCTCAAGGAACCTAGTTTTCTTTTTTTAATAATTGCCTCTGAGATGTCTTGTTTCGATTTATGATTCATTGTTATCACTGTTGAATCCATGGATTGGAAGTGTAAAACTCTTGCTTTTAATCTAACTATTCTTCGTGATGCTGGTGAGAATCAGATTGTTTCGCGGAAGAAGTTGAATCTTTGTTTTTCAATTGAGTTAGTTAAAATTTGGAAGAATTAATTTTCCAGCCTTAGTTGTTCTTGATTTGATGTCAGGTTTGGGTGTTCTCAGTTTTGAATCTGCAATGGAAGTGTTCTAACCTTGAATCTAATTTAACTTTTTTTTAAAAAGAATCAGATTGTTAATTTGTTGTACTTGGAGTTGAATCTCTTCTTCATGTGTTAGTAATCTCGTGAAGAACTACTCGATTTCATGTTTGAATGTTTTTAGCATAGAAATCCAAATCTAAGGAGCACACTGAATCAACTCTAGAAGGGCAAGATTTGTAACTCTCAAATTCAGAAGAATGGGGAAGTCCTAGAGGCATGGAAGGGTCGACTCTTCATCACAAGAGTCAACTCTAAGCAACAGACACAATCAACTATAATAGTTTATATTTTTATCTGATATATTTATGTAAACTCAAATATATGTACACATTATTTTTTTTAACTATAAATAAAAATATACTAATGTAATTATATTAATTAATATATAAAATAATAAATAATTAATATTTAATAGAATAAAAATAACCTATTAAGAAATTGAATTAAAAATTTTTTCTTTGGAAGTGTATGAATCAAGAAATGGGCGGGGAGAT